GGTTTTTAATATTACTTAATTTTATATAAGGAATATAGTAAGTATATTTTATAAGTTTATAGTAATTGATAATAGGTGTATAGAAGTAAGGGTATAGGTAGAAGATATAGAAGAAAAAGAATATATTATTAACCTTATTATTCTTTTCTAATTAAAAGGAACTCTAGCTTATTTATAAAGAAAAAGAAGTTAAGTATAATAACTTAGAAAAAACTCTAGAATATTCTAGACTATCCTAAAGGTTTACTTTTAGTAGATCTAGTTACTTAGTTATTATATAACTACTAATATAGTCTCTTCTATAAGTTTCTACCTTCTTCTATTAGCTCTAGTAGTTTTATAAGGTAGATTTAGCTAATATTAGTATCCTAGTAGCTATAAGAGGCCCTTTATAAGGTAACCTACTTTTAATACCTCCTCTAGTTAGCTAAAGGGCTAATCTTTTAAGTTTAAGTATTATATAGTATAGTATATATCCTTTAGTAATATCATAGGCTTATATAGTGCTATTAGAGTAGCTAATAATAATGATTTTATGTGATTAAAGGAAATTTAAGGTGTAGGGTAGCTGCCTTAGATTTAAGGTATAGGGTAGCTACCCTATACCTGCTATTAATTAACTACTTATTATTGTGACTGCAGGAGGATTTAGTGGTTAAAGTACCTGAATAGCGCTGGGCTTGCCGCGTTGTTAGGGATATAGCCGCTAACCAGGCGCTCGGCCCTGGCGGCTACACGCGCTAACTAATAAACGTTCTAGCTTCCTAAAGGCAATTAATTGCCTTTAGGCCTTCTATAGAAGCCGCTTTTAGAGGTAAGCTTTACTCTAACGCCTAGCTTAATAGTATATTTTCCTTTATATTTCCTTACCTTTATTTTAATACTATATCTTATATATAATATATCTTTCTTATATTTTAATAAATAAATAATTTAAATAATAACTAAATTATATTATATACTTTTATATTAAGTCTAGTAAAAGCTACTCTAATACCTTATATATATAATTTAACTTAAAATCTATTTAGGATTAAGTTCTTCTAATACTAATTAATAGTTAAATTAACTTAATTATAAAATAGCTAAAGATTCTTTTATCTTTTCTTTTTATCTTTCCCTTATCTTTTCTTTTTTTTTACCTATTATATAAGTTATTAGAGTAGCTAAAAATAATAAAGATATTACTAATAATATATTAGTAGATATTATAGACCCTAATACTAAACCCCTTAATCTAACTATATAATTATTAAGATTAGAAGTCTTACTTAATTCTAGGATTAATTTCCTTAAGGAATTTAAGAAGTTTTAATACCTTATACCTAAGAAATAATACTAATTTTAGCCTATAATAATTACTCTAGATACTAACTATATTACTAAACTTAGTTTAATAAAGGTATTAGTACTAGTTTTTTATAACTTATTTATAAATTCCTACTAGAAGTATTATAAAGAATAGCTCTAGGAATACCTTTATAAGGACTTTAGCTATTAGTTTAAGGTAACCTAGAGGAAGATTAACTAAGACTTAAACTAAGAAATAAAAGATCTACTAGTCTCTTAAGGAGTACCCTTAGTTATAAGAAGGGGATAGCTTATCTATAAAACCCTATATAATATAATTAATAATATTTACCTTAATACCTTAAGTATTAAAGATAAAAGTACCTTATATAAGGGAGCTAAACCTAGGTAGTTTATATAATAGACTATAGAAAAGACTACTAAGGATTAAGGTAGAATCTTTAAACCTTATAAAGGAAACCCCCTTTTAGCCTTTAGTAGCCTTAGCCTTAATAAGAAGCTAAAGACTATTATTAAAGCTAAAATATTATAGCCTTTATTAATACTAAGGTAGAGGAAGAGTATTAAAGATTTTCTCTCTAATCTTACTAAGTATTTTAATAATAATTACCTTTTTTCTAGAAATAGAAGCTAATTAGCTTATCTAGGACTTAGTTAGTACCTTAAATAACCTAAAGATATATCTAATAATAGATATAATATCTTAAATATAAGTAAAAGACTATAATACCTAAATATCTTAGTAGTATTACTAGCTAAATTAACTTAATATAGAACTATAGTACCTAGACTAAGTACTAGGACCTTTCTTAAGATAATTATAAGGTATAATTAGCTAAATTAGGTACTAACTATAGGTAAAAAGTTTTATTAGAAGAACCTTAAAATAATATATAATAGCTAATATAAAGAAGTATACCCTTTTAATTTCCTAGAAAATAAAGAAGAATAATAACTTCTACTTTAAGATAATAACTAAGAGAATAAAAGATATATTATATATTAATAACTATAATATATATTAAGAATAAATAAATTAAAATATATAGGTAATAAAGATAATACTAATAGATAAGATTTAGTGTCTTCCCCTCCCTAGAATATTAGAAATTAGTAACTAGTATAAACTAGAAACTACCTTATATTCCTTTATAGTAATAACTATAGAAATTCTTAAGGATAAGGAGGACGTAGTAGAGGAAGAAGAGGTAGTAGGACGTTACTACCCCCTAGAAGAGATCCTTCTAGGTCTTTAAGAGGTTATTAGCTACCTAAAAATCTAAATAACCTAGGATATTATAATAAAAATAGCGATAAAGGCTACCTTATATCTCTAAGACCTCTAGGACCTCTAAGACCTCTAGGACTACTTAAGAATAAATAAGAAGACCTTAATTTTATACCTCTAATAGATATAGTAATACTAAAAATACTTAATAGTATTATAAAAGGCTATAAAAAGTATAATAAATATTTTAAAAAATAATACTACTTTTTTTAAATAAAGCTATATAACTTTATTAATTACTATAAATATATTAGGCTACCTAACTAGGAGCTAGAATATACCTTTCCCTTAATATTAACTAGGCTTACTTATATTTATTATACCTATATCTTAGCTAACTAAAACCTTAACTATTTTAAGATAATAAACTAAGTTTAAGACTATTTTAAACCCCTAATAATATATAACTAGTACTAAGATAAATAGTAGAAGCTTTTTTTATTAGATATTATAAGGAAGAACCTAGATAAGATAATACTTAACTACCTAGAGATCTTAATAAAGAAAATATAGTTACTTTATTAAAGAATCTTCTCCTAGGTAGAAGGTAATACCTTACTAGTAGAGATAAAGAATATACTAAAGAGTATTATATATAATAATTAGGTTTATTTTTTTACTTTAACCTAGCTAATTTAAATATATAAGGAGCTAGTTAGTACTCTTTAGTAGTCTATTAGCGTCTATAAAAGGACCTATTATTATTACTAGTAATAGTTTTATGTTAATAGAGATTATTATAATACCTAAGGTAGTAGGAAATAACCTACCCTAGAGAATTCCCTAAAATAGTATTTTATTTGTAAGAAGTAGGGATATTAGTTTATTAAATATACTAAGAAAGAATATAAAAATACCTAAGATATTTAGTTTTAGAAGAAGAACTATATTAAACTACTTACTAAAAAGTATTTTTAGGTATTTATAATAATATCTAAAGGACTTAAAGATAATATAGATTAAAAAGGCCTATATAATACCTTTATTATATACCTAAAATTAGATAATAATAATAGCCCTAAAGAGGATAAACCTACTAATAATAAAGGTATAGAAACCTTCTTTATAGGTATTATAAAGACCTTCTAGGTCTTTAAGAGTATTAGAGGAGTACCTTTAGATAAGATTATAGTAGTCCTTTAAAAGTTAGCTATCTTATATATAGAAACTAAGGAGGATTTAATATAGTATACCTTATAAGTATATATATATAAAGATAGA